AAGTGAGCGTTTAGCAGATAGAGTGATTCTGCTAAAACTGGAAAACTGTGAAATGTTGAGAAAACCTGCCGATCACATGGTGTTAACCAGCTTTTCCAGGCTCTAAATGGTTCAACATTTAATTTAATCTTGAGGTCCGTGGAAAACACGAGAGATCACTTCGCCCACTGCCTCATCGCCTTTGATAATGGCCACCGCAGTTGTGGACGAAACGTTAGGACGAAATTTCCGTGGACCACGGCTTCAAAGCCCGAAAAACATTTCTAAATGTGATTTTTGATAAAGTTGCTTCTCCATAGAGAAGCGAGTGGCAAGTTTGCCGAGGGCTCTGTTTATTTTTCGAATATTTACTCTGACGTGACCGGCCCCGAGGACGGATTCAAAAGAGAGTGCGTCGCCTCTTTTGTGGAAAGAGCGTCGATTTTATGGTCGTTTTGGGGGCATAATGAAGTTGCCATTGAAATACCTGGGCACCGGCATAATGGATGCCGAGCATGTGGCTCAATTCCTGTGGATATTAAATTGAGATGCCATTCTGTGCCAGCCGACAAGAGGATATTTGTGGGAAAGAAGACGACGATCGAGCAATTAGTGAGTGACGAGAAATTCCGGGCATAACCGGAACCGTGTGTGCCGACTTGCGGGAATACTTGATTTGCATTACTGTCTTGGCCAGAGATTGTCGCGCACACACTTTTGGCCAACTTTTCGCATTAGTTCACGCGCATTTCGCTCGATAAAAACTCGGCTCATCCTTGCCAGTCAATATCCGAAAGTTTCCAATAAAAAAAGTTCAGTCTCACGTCGCCAAGCCCTCGAAAGCATAATCCGGCGAATATTAATCGAGCTTGGCGCAGTAACACCGAAAACAAACAAAACTTTTCCTATTGTGCCCTTAAAGATGGCCGCAAAAAGTCTCTACAGCCCATTTTCCGATTTTCCACACAATGAGCTGCTGTGTGGCGGATTAGTACTGAATAGTGCACACTTTCAATAAAACTCCAATCAATAATAATAACAATAATGAAACAAAAGGCTCATGGATATTGCTAACTATTTTATTGAAACGAGTCAAGCGTGTTGATTGGTGAAGCCGTTAATTTAAAGCGGAAAGCCAAATTAATTGCCTGTACCAATAGCAAATACAGCCAATGTACATAATGAAAAGCAATTCTAAATTAGCTGCAGCAAATTGTAATTGATATTTATTATTTTCAGCGGTCAGTTATTAAAATACAATTTTGTCGCTAAATCGGTTTCACTAGACCACAAGTGAGCGGAAAGATGGAGTTTGGCAACTATCGAATAAACTTGAGCAACTTAAATTGGTGTGTTTCAAGCTAGACCCATTGCCGGCGAAAATAACTGCGGAAAACTCGGGTTCGTGCTTTTGATGCAAAATGTCGCTCAAATAACTGTTATTATTATATTCCTGTCCTTGCTGGGTCTCAGTCAAAGTATGAAGTGACAATATTGAATAGCGTTTATTTCATTACGTTTCGGCGAGACAACAGCGCCATCATCAGATTTGAAATTCAACACAAACCCATAATTGGGAAACATTAGATTCTTTTTGGCCTACGCCTAAAAAGAATCTAATGTTTCCCAATTATGGGTTTGTGTTGAATTTCAAATCTGATGATGGCGCTGTTGTCTCGCCGAAACGTAATGTCATAAACGATATTCACAATTTTTACTTTGAAATAAATGAAAATAACTGTTCGTTGGGGTCGGTGGTGCCAGGCACTGAGTGCATTAAGCTTCTTCCTTGTTGTTGGTCATAATGGTCACATAGGAGTAGGCGCCATTCAACACCTGAAACCCTTGGCTAAAATCTTTGTCGCAAATCGTAGAACGGAAGACCCCACTTTGATCACCGTGTCCGTTGTTAACGGGTTGAAAAGTCCAATGGTGAGTCTGAGGGGAGTTTGGGCGCGTAACAGAACCACTCTGGCCATGTTCTGGATCGCGATGTTCTTTTGGTACCATGGAAAGTCGTAGATTGCAATCGAAACGCCCAAGCTCTGGAACATGGTGGTGTTTGTTCGCCAATTAAGTGCCACCTTACTCACCTCCATGCTCATTTCGTTCGCCGGCCATGCCAGCACGAGCAATTGCCCAAACAGCACGAACAAGAAACACGGAGTGAAAATGTCGTCAGTTATTCGATTGGCCTGAAAATCATTGATGGGACCAGTTGGGGAGCACGCAATTAATTTGCTAATCACTTACCGATATGAGTTGAAAAGCCACACAGGCGATATTCACCGAACTTATCAGGAACTCGATGAGAATCAAAGAACGCATATTCTCATTGAAATCCTTCACAAACCTACATTTCATTGTACAGGGTAAGCACATGATCAAAAGGGCGGAGAGACGTTCTTTGGCTCAAATGAAGACCATTTGACCTAGTGAGATCGATTCAATTCCGGTGCTGGGAAAACGTTTTTCTTACTTGTTTTTAGATTCATTTTAAGGGCCGTTTATTAATGATATTTTCAGTTTTTAGTCAAAGTTACTCTTTCTTCTAAACGCTCCATTTTCTAAAATTTCACTGCGTTTTCCGCGAAAAATCATTAAAAAAATTATTGGAACGCTCGGCTCCTTTGTCGCTTTGTAAAAAGTTATCAAATCCCTCTTCAGCTTCAAATTTTGGACAAAAATCAAATAGTTTTGTATCAAAACAGGAACAAAACAAGCAGAGGTTTATAAAAAATTACTATTTGGAAAACTCGTCATCTCCAGTCCTCTGTGGCTGTAAGGTTTGCTAAAAAATGTGGTTTTTAGTTTTGAATTGCTTTTTTTTGCTTCACTTTCTACTTAAAAACTCTTTATTTTGTAGAGTGTGAATTAAAAATACTGACGATCTGCAGGTTTTTTGCGCGAAAAATTACAAGACAAATTTATAGCTTTGTAGGAATTTGCAAAAACTTTTTTCAGCATCGAATTTGGGACAAAAACGAAAATACATTTGTTCCGTTCTTCCCCGAAAATCATTAAAATTTTTTGAAAAACCGATCACAAGACAAAGAAGTTTTAATAAAAAACTCAACAAAACTATAATGTTCTGATGATTTCCTTCTTTTCTGATAATAACGGGGTCTTTTCAGCCAAAAATTACAAAATTAAATTTGTTAGAAAACTCGCCTCATTCGCCGGTTTGCAGGGAACATTAGAAAACCCGTTTGAGCTTTGAACTTTGTAGAAAAACCAAGTAGTTTTATTTAGTTTTTTACCGAAAGTAATTAAGATTATATTGAAAAAACGAACGGAGAGCAAAAGTTTACAAAAAATTATTTGGAAAATTCGCCACCCTCTTCGCTCTGAAGACTTTTAAAGTTCCTTTAAAATTTTAAGTCTTCAGTTTTAGCAATATTTTTAATAAGCAATTCTTTCTACGCAAAAAACGCATTATTTTTTAGTTTTACTTACAAATACCAACAATCTTAAGGAATTTCTGTGCACCTGAACACTCGCCTCGTCAACCATTTTGCAAAAATTTTTGGAAAATCTTTTGCAGCTTCGAATTTTGAACAAAACCTTAATGATTTTTTCGCAAAATATTTCCCCGAACAGAAAAAGCCAAAGTTTCTACTCATTTATTTGGAAAACTCTTGGAAACTGGGGTTTCTTCACTTTTAGGTCAATATTTCTAAACAACACTGTCTCTAAACCGACAAACCGCGTTTTTTCCTAACGTTTTATTGTAAAATACTGGCACTTTTATGCCAAAAATGAAGAGATCGGTTTTACAAGAAAACTCGTCGTCTTGTAACATTAAAATCGTTAATTAAAAACGTTCAAACTTTGCAACATTCATAGCTTTTGCGCAAAAAATGATTTTTGTGTCCTTGCGGCAATGTTCTTTTATAACAAATAAATTGTCAAGCGTTTTATGATCTTTAACTGACCGACACAATGCATTTTGGAAGCGTTTTTCGCCGAATTGCAACAATCTGACGAAAAGAAGAAGCGAGTTTTTAGCAACATATATCCCTGACGTAGACAATTCTAAAATAAATTTGACCGCTTTTCCAATATTGCAAAAAAACTTAATTAAAGTCTTGTTAACGTAAAAAGTAGTCTGCAGTCTTAGTGTCTAACATTGTCAGTTGGCAAGAGATCACAAATATTTTTTGCGCAAAAACCGTGAGCGCCACAAGATTTTACAAAGAGGGCGAAAATGGCAAAAGGGGATTAGTGCATCAACTCAGAAAAAATCAAGTGATTCCAGCTAACGCAAAAAAACTTCTGGTAGTTTTAGTGCCGAAGTTCTGAAGAATTCCTAACTGGTCCAAAGCAGCTGAACTCGGTTGCTTCACCAAACAAGTCTTAAAGCAACAGAACAAATCCGCGAGTTCCAGTAACTCAGAACTTTGACCATCAAAAGCACAGAAACCAGCCATTTCACCTAAGCAAAAGATCAGATCGTCTCCTTTCGATCCATTCTGATCATGTGCTTACAGGACACGCTCTATTGAAAGCATTACTTGCTCCCAAGGCGGGCTTACCATATAATGAACTGATGCGCCTGGATCAGCTGCTTCATCATCTCCACATCGCCAGCACTTCCTTTGCATGAGTTAAAGTTGCTAAACCGGTACTGCAAGACTTGCAACTGGGCCCTGATGAACCCCAGCACTCCCAAGTAGAGAATGGGGCACAGGCAGAAGTAGATGATGGCCAGGAGCACCGTGATGGTCTGGAGCACCAGCGCACGTTGGTAGTGCAGATTCTGGTCGAAGTGAAAGTGGGCGAGGAACATCATGGGTTTCTGCAGGTCTGGAGCGCTGCTGCCGCTCAAGCCTGCCACGATGGTGCTCACTATGAGGAAGCTGCCGGTGCCCCCAGCCAGAATCAGGATGGCTTTCGAGCACTTTTCCACGTAGTTCTGACATTGCAGGTACAGAGTGAGCGTGCCTGGCTCGCATGAGGCCGCAAAGCTTGCCTCACTTTCCACCAGCCTGGACAGCAAGTGGGAGAATCTACCGCTTTGAAACACCACGAGTTTGAGGCACAGTAAACTGGCGGGGAATGTGATCTTGATGTTGACGGTGAGCTGCTTGATGTCGTCAGCGCGCACCAGGCGCACGAATTCTTCGCACATGGAGAAGCAGGCCAGGAAAAACGCACTTTGAATGATCAAACCGTACAGCTTGTAGACTTGCTGAGCAGTGCGATCTTCGAAGTAGGGCAGCTGCCAAACGCCGCCCAACAGCATCATGTAGCGGGGAAACCGCAGGATTTGCAACTGAGCCATGGTTACTGACGGCCCGCCGGAAGGTCCATCCAGGTTTTATAGCCAGGCTTGGGGCTTAGGGGAGCGTCGAGTTGAGCTGCTCCAAAAGTTCTCCAAGTTTCCCTCGCCGGCAGGGGCCACAATCGCCTGCCCTCCCCTACTATGCATCCTCCTTTGCTAGCCCCCCGTCACCAAGTGACGAGTAATTGCTCCTTGACCTCCCAATAAATCTACCATAAACATACCCCTGGCCGCGTTTTCTTGGCAGCCCCCCTTGGGGTATACTTATTTTAATTTTTTCGATTAATTTTTCATTTTTCCTTAGCAAAAATTGCCATGCACGGCGCTGATTCCATACATTCAGGGGGGCGGCACTGTGTTTCTTCTAACTAATCAGGTGGCACTGTTGCAACTTTAAATATTCAACTCTGGCAATCTAGTGCAGGTGCTGGTTTTCCTCCAGAATTTTCTAGTGGAAAAAATCTATTGTGTGAAACGGGTTTCGAGATCCATCATCATCGCACCCAGTGCATTCCACATACATCACGCTTGCACACGCAGGGGAAGAGGATCCAGCCGATGGAAAAGCTTCCGGTAGTTCCCCAAATACAAGTCCGGGTGTCATTTAAAGCACATGTACAGAATATGCACATACAACATGTCTAATGCCGCGAGGGTGCTTAGGAAGATTTACGGCGATTTTATTGCCGGCAATAAGCGCCATTTATCTTTGTTGCTGATTTTTCGTTCGCGATTTATGTCGCTCTGTTTTGTGTACGGAACGGGGCTGTTTTTTTCTCCACTCGCTTCTTTATCTGTGATTAATTGCACGCGTCAATTGGTGTCATTTTAAACTGCCTTTGACTGCGCATTTTTTGCAGCAAAAGTGTTAGCTAAAGCAGCGAAATCTGGCCATCGTCAACAACTCGACTAACATTAATCGGACTTATCAAAAGAGAAAGACTTTCGAGGTCATTCCTTGAAACTAGTGGGTTTTTCGGGTCAGGAATAAATTATCGTCGTTCGGTAGAATTTCTTCTTGACGTTTCGCAAGCACGAGTGGCTTGCATCTTCAGAAGTGGTTTGCTTGAACGCTTACACTGTTCTCATC